ACAATCACAACAACAACCACAACCACAAACACAAACACAACCACAACCACCACCACTGCAGCAGCAGCAACAGCGACAGCGACGAGGACAATGACAGCGCAGCAGCAACAACTGTCAGATATCACTATGACAACAGCCAGAACAGCCATCCCTGCAATAGGAAGGGCGACACGGACGACCGCACCCACGAAACCAACAAGGTCATTGTACTCAGCTGCTTCTAGCCCAAGAGCAGAATTTAGAACCAGGTGGCCTTCTCCAACGCCAAGCGGGCCATCAGCCTGTTTGCGCTCTCAGAAGTTGCAGGTCAGCCCTCTCGTCGTAGATTCTTTCAAGAACCGCTGCAAATGTGGGTGTTCTAAAGAGACTCAGCGCCTATCCGAGTCTCTCGGCTCTTGAAAGCTGGGCCCTGGCTCAGAACTCGGAAGCCAAGCCCTAAGCCGCCAAGGCACTCCAGGAAGAAAAGAAGATCGAACCATCCGGCGATGAGTCGCCCCAACGAGTGCAGTTCTTGCAGGTGCAGCCCGTTGTGCTCTCTTTCTCTGTGTCTCTTTCTTTTCGCCAGGGTCTCTGTCTCTCTCTCTCTCTCTCTCTTAGGTACTAAGTCGGGCTAGAGCTATTGGCTTCTTGCCTGCCGTCGTTAACTTAACAAGCTTGACCCCAAACAGAACATGCAAGGACGAATCTCCTCCAGGGCAGGCCAGGAAGACGCAATGGCTCGTGTCGCTGCTCGACAACGTTTCAGCTGCTGCCCGCCCTGCAACAAGGGATCACACAATGACCGGATCACTCCCGGATGGCGCTTTGCAAATGATCGACCCATGGTGACGGAGAAGATCGCGAAGTGCAACCTATGCTAGTAGATGGTACTTCCCCACAGATTGCTTGACCCAACTTTGTCGATGTTGGTCCTGGTGGTGACTAGCCTAGTCTGCAGCTATACATTGCTGTTCTTCCTCGAGCCCTAGACCTCTCCATGCCGTGCTGGTGAAGTACAGAGTTGCTGCGATGCAGCTGCATGGAGATGACTGGTTTGATGAGGCCGGTTCCGATGAGATGAAACTCGCTTCGTCATGTGGGCTAGTTTGTTGTGCATGTTGCGTCGGCTGGTGATCGGGAGTTGGTCTGGCGTGTCTGCATGCATCGCAAAAGACGAGCCAACTCAGCACTATCTTCTGCACGTGTTGAAGCTGGAAACGGACTACAACGGCCCCGAACTTGTTTTCGTTTCTGTTTCGTCAAGTTTGCCTTCCAACTCCAGCTCCACCATCATGCAAACGCCATTGAGGAACAGCAGAATCGCGGCGGCTCGATCCTTGAAACATGCAAGCAATGCAAGGTGTCGCTGCTCTCTCAACTTTCCTTTCTGGAGTTCACTGAGCCCCAAGATTTTGCTATCTTCAAGTGCCCACAATTCGGCAGGCGAGTAACCAAACATCGAAGCCTCCTGGCCATGGGATCCAAGTTTTGACCGCTGGGCACGACCTTGCACAGCGTCTCCTCCGATTCCGGCTTCGAAGACAAGGAAAGCCATCCACGGAGTTTCGAAGCTCGGGATCGAACACACCTGGCACTTTGGACATCACAACCGAACAGGTAAAGAAGTGACTACACCACACGTGACTGGAACCTATAGCTGGAAAAAAAGGTACTCGTAGAGTCGCTTGGGGGCCCATGGCGCACTGCGCGGCTGGCTACAGGGCTGCAGGGACACGGGTCCGGGTCATCGATCTGCAAGGCGGGCTGTGAGGTGAGCTGTGTTGCACTCAGCTGTAGCCGGGCAGGGTCATGAACCGGAGATTCCACAGGCTTCGCATCCAACGATTCCCCTTCAAGGTGATTCAGCACCGCTTGCCGCAGCGCAGCGTGTTGCTCTTCGGCAAGAGCCAGTTGCTGCTGATGAAACCCGTCAATGATCTCGAGGAAGCTGTCCATGGCAGAAACGTCGGCTGCAGGCTGGAATGCACTAACTAGGAACATGATGAGCATCACACGTGAACTACTGCAGTGAGATACTGTGCTCGACCACTTGGCATGCCCTACCGTAGCCGTTTACGGCAGTAGGTCCTCCTGGAAAGGAGGCAGCCTTGAGCCACAAAAGCTGCAGGACACTGATCTTGCCACGCGTCTTTACGATTCCCTCAACTTCCTTTTTGCATGCTGCCGCCAAGCTTCGACGTCTGCGGCCGGACAGCCTGAAAAACTCAGGGTGGACTTGCAGCTGCCCTAAAAGGGGTCGTGGAAATTTTCATTTGGAGGTTAAGACCGTGGCAAGCTGGGTTGCTGTCATCCGAGAGAAGCGAGATCCCAGGGTCCAGCGGAGCTTCCATGCTCCTCTTGCTGTGTCTCTCTCACGAGTGCAAGTGACGCAGTTTTCTTGGCACAGATCCAGTTTCGTTCTTGGTCCTCCAGTCTGGCCAGCACAGCCGTCACAGGGGTCACTTGCTGGAGCCGAGGCGGCCGACAGAATTCGGCACGGTGAGACCACGAATGCTGCTCTTCCGACTATGTCGGCAAGAGACGCAAGATTTGAATCAATGAAATGCATGAAAAAGCTTGACCCTGTCGTGAACGCTGCCTGAGCCTCCCGGCGCACACGAGGAGTTTGGGCCTTTTGCGCAGACTTCGGGCGTCTGCTAAACGTCCATGCCTTGATCCGCAAAGCAGGCAGAAACCTTCAAAATCCGCAGCTGGTACGTAGTCAACACTTGCAAGTTGCCCCCATGTCTCTGATTTCTAGATTTCCTCGCGAACGATTCCCCAGAGAGAGAGAGAGAGAGAGAGAGAGAGAGAGAGAGAGAGCGAGAGCGAGAGCGAGACAGAGAGAAAGGGAGAGAGAAAGAGAGAGAGAGAAACAGAGAGAGAGAGAGATTCCCCATAACGACAGACCATGGCCTAAGCTTTCCCAGAGCTCCTGAGCTGCCAACCGGCTTTCTAGGAGAGGTCGGCTCCATGCAAGGGGAATACTGAGCAGGACCTGAGCGATGACGCAGGTTTTAAGGCCTCCGATCCAAACACGAGCATATGATCTCCACAAATGAAGGCTTACTTCGTCTTGATTGCACGGGTCACAGGCTTTCAATTGTGCATGAGGGTCTGCACGAGACGTGCACAGGCTTTCAATTCTACATGAGGGTCTGCACGAGACGTGCCGCAGGTTGAACAAAGCTTCAGCTGCCTGTGCCATGCCGCGGTGCCATCACTATTAGCCTGTCTCAAGAATGAGGCTAGGAGCTGATGTACTTTTGCTGTTGCTGTTCCTTCGGCTTGTGCCGGCCCTGCATGGTGAAGGCGCCACAATACCTCTCGCCAAGGAATGCGGCAGTGGCACACAGCAGGCACAGAAGCACTTCAGAAGGCAGGGACATCGCAGCAAAAGCATTGTACAGGTTCCCTAAACCTTAGCCCCCAAAACGTGTGGGGGCACCTGCCAGGGCTTCGATCAGAGACTCCGAAACCGTTGGGCACAGCATAGGCTCCTGGTCCTGGATTTTCCTCAGCTTCCGAAGTCCTTCCTTCGGAAGGACCGACTCTTCTTTGCGCTAAAACTGGTGCCATCCAAGCCTCGGTAAAGTATTCCAAGAGCCTGTCGCCAGTTTCTCCATAGCGCCTCTCGCATTGCTTGAACTGTCAGCGGACCATTGAGATTTTGGCCCTTCTTTGTGATTCATTCCCCCATCCGCGGCTTCTGGCCTGCGCGACGATGCGCCGTCGTCCAGGGAACCAAACTCGGACCTCATGAGCCGAGGATATCCAGTGCATGGGGCAGTGCAGGCCAGGTCATACAAGCAAGCAGCCCTCTTTGGGACACACTCCCGTGGGCCGGTGTGTCAAACAATCCGTCCGAGCTCTTTCCGAAGATCAACACATTCTATTTGCAACATCAAGAGTCTCTGATGCCAGGTCCTCAATCATCCATTTTCAAGCACGTTAAGACATGCATCACTCCACACTCGTATCAAGCAAGATACTGCCCAAAGAAGGCGAGGCAATTTCAAGAATCAAGACAGACTCCATGCTGCATCTATGCTACTTCGCCACCACCAGCGCTTTATCGCTCAAGCAAGCGCTAGAATTGGTCTCACAACCCGAGTCCGACAGCTCGATGCGTGGTGCTCAACTTGACAGCCCAGAATCTTCGTTGGGCCAGCTGTCCAGAAAGGATACCTCGTGCAGCTGCAGGCTGCCTTTGCCCATCTGATCCAGATTGTGGAACAAGCTCTTGCCTCAGGATCGCAACGGTCCCCGCTTTGGGAGTATGCAGACAAGCTCTGGTTTTGGCCAGCTTGCACTCACCCGTGAAGCCATACATCCTGACAGCTGGGCAGCTGTGGCTACGAGTACCAGGTGCCAGTCTGCCACTTCAATGGTCCTGCAGGCACTCTTGAACTCCTTAAAGTTCAGCGACCCCGAGCCATCTGCATCCAGCACCTGAAGGGTGCCACAGTCGGACCATACAAGCTTCGTTTTGGGCATGACTGGAGCACATAAACGATTGAGGATGTTATGACCACCGCGGATGTGCCCGGGCAGAATTCCGACGGAACGCGTCCCCCTCAAACCATGCCTACTGTTCAGGGGTCTGTCGGTATTGGAAGCCTTTCTCAGGTTACGAAGATGACTGAGCATAGGCCGCATAAATTTGAATGATACTCTTTGACACCCTGTCTCCGATCTCAGCACAGACTCCCCTCATTCAGCCCCTTCCCTGGGTTTTCGGGATGGCTTCTTAAACTGGTGGCGGCAAGCTTGACAACTGTTTCGTGTCGCAACCACAATCGTGCGGGAGAAGAGTCCAGCCTTGAAAGCGGACCTCACTCCACCGAACTCCGCATCCGCCCAGGTCTTGAAGTTCGTCAAGCATTCATGGGCTTCCTGAGCCGTTCCAGCACCCTAACCTCCCAGGTACCTACTATATAGGGCCCTAGGGGCTCTCGTACCCTGTATCGTAGGTACCTGGTTAGGGGCATCTGTCCATCAGCTCAAAGCTTGGCCGACCATCTGACTATCGAACAGTGCTCTGCGGGTGCTGCCAAGGTGCGGGGTCAACCTCCTGGCTTTGAGAGATGGGCAAGAACACAAAGGAGTCTAACCATAGTAAGAGATGCACGAAATCAGAAAACTTGGTGCGCAGACATGGGTGAATGCAGACTTCGGGAGATTCAATGTTCCCGTGCTGCTGACAGCTGTTGTCAGCAAGCCCTTGGAATTCTTGCATGCATGATTTCATACCGCCTGCAAGGAAACTCGAAACCTCGCAATTCCAGCAACATGAGCTCGTTTCAACTGGCCTTCAGAGATATGCTGCCGCTGCAATCCTTGGGCGCAGCAATGGCACTTTCTCCGCTCCAGTGCAAATGCAGGGCTGCTCGCCAAGGCTCTGAATCCAAAGCCAACCATGCTCCGGCCAGGTTTCCATGGAAACGGACCAATTTTGCTGCCTGCAGTTTCATTGATCTCTGAGTGGTCACATACACATATGTACATGCATAGCCTCATAGCTAGACAACTCTAGGGCGCTATGCTATGCCAGCTGCGCAGCACCACAAGCAAATAGATTTCTGGTTGAGAAACGAACATAGTATCCAACGGTTGTGGTGTCATTCTGGTTTGGTTGGACCCGAAAATCGAACAGGGTTTCCATGAATGTTGAGCTTCCTATGACAGGGGAGGGTTGCGGTCCACCTATTTTTGAGAACTTTGGGGCGTCTTTCAGACCTCAAGACTCCCTTGAACGCCGGAAGCGTAAGTGGCTATGCCGCATTCACGGCGAGCAGGGCTGTTTACTCTGGGGCTATGGCCACGTTTCTTTTTTGGGTACCCTGGAGTGCTACTAGCCGCTACTACGTATGTGGTGTAGGCAGTTTGGTCCTGGAGCGGAGCGGGAAAGCCAATCCGGCTTATGGCAAACGGCCTCTTTGGTCACATGTCTGAAGAAAGACCTATATATGTGTGAGCAACAAATCACCAAGCCCAGTCGATTGGGCACGAGGTGACAGGGAGAGCATTCTGCCAGTTTTAGTACCGATACACCTTGTCAGCCTTGAAGACGTGCTGGAGCTTTCATCAACGGTTTAAGCCTTCAGCACACTTCCGACTGGGCATTTCGATCATGCCTTGGCAGATTTATTCCCTTGCGAACTTGCAGCATCTTGCAGCTCCAAGCGAGAAGGACAGGTTTGAGATGGTAACACCCGAACGCAGGAAGTCCAGGCAGCACGCCGCCTCCTGGAACTCGTGCCAATTGCAGCCTGAGTTCTTGCAGGCTGTGTCACTTGTCACTCTGGCCAATTCTTCGTCAGCGACTCAGTCTCAAAACAATGACTCGGACAGTCCAATTAGTATGGCCAGAGAGGCTGTTTGAGCAATCCTTGTCCATAGCGAAGCGCCAGGCCTGTCGAATACGAACCGCACAGGCAGTCAAACCCTCTGGCACAACCTGCCTTGAGGATGTGACCGTGCCGCGCTACCAGCCTTGAAGCTGGAGGTTGGGCTTTCGCGCAGGCAATAGGAAATCATTGCTGTGGCTCCCAGCTGTTTGCGAAAAGCATCGGCGGCCGCCTGGTCGGCAACGGTTGTGAGCCAGGCCTTGCAGGTCTTCACGTATACGAATACTGTAACTCGGCTTTCTTCCACTGCCCAGGCGCGGGGGCTCGCCACACGTCCATGAACTCAAAATCACGGGCGCAGATGTGCTTCCTTAGCTCTCATTGTAACTTTGTCTCGGGCTCTCGTAAGTTATGCTCCACAGGAACACGAGATGCCCGGGAGAAGGGAGCGAGAGAGAGAGAGAGAGCACCAGCGAGGAAGGAAGGGAGTCACACAGAGCGAGTGAGCGAGTCACGTAGAAAACGAGCGCACAGCTCACACCTGTGCAACAGGGGCTGCCCGTGTAACAGTTCTGATCATCGCACCGGCTGAAGAGATCTCCAAAGGACAACCCTCAACCACATGAAGGGCTCGGTTGCAACCCGGTGGTCTGAGTCTGCGATGTAGCTTCCGGACTCCTCTACTTTGTGCAACTGAAAGATAAAGACGGAGAAAGATGTGAATTGCCGAGTCGCTTCTCCTGCCAGTCTAAAATCGACGCCACTTGTTTGGCATTCCGACCAAAGCCATGGGACTCCAATTCCTGGTCACTTTGCGGCATCGAGCTACTGAACAGCACAGCAACTTTGTGCGCCGGGATTTCAGCTCATGGGCTTCAACGACCCCCCAATGGCATCGAGCAACGCGGTACAAAGAAACAGCTGTGCAGCCCACACATGAGGGTTTCCGAAAATAGGGGACCTTAATATAGTACCCTAAATAATAGGATCCTTATTATAAGGACCCCAAAATAAGGTACCCCTAATTTTCGGAAACCCCCACATGATTGTGATGGCAGAGATCCTCTGACTGGGGTGTCGTCTCAAGTCGGACTGGCCAGGGCTTCTGTAGCACATGAGGGCTGTGCTACCGGCCTGGCTAGATTGAACCAAGGTGCACCAACTCTGCAGCCAAGCGTCTTGGAGGAACTCGGCATGGGTCAACCTCTTTTTGCCTCGGATCGGGGGGCCATTCGCACTTCGTAGAAAGCTCAAGGAAACCTCAATGAGCCGACGAATTTCGGACCCCCCCTCTGCCCGCCCTTCGGGACCACTGCAGCCTTGTGGCGAAACCGGTCCAGCACCTCGAAAGCCTCACTTGGCCTTGCGGCACCGCAACCATGCCCCACAAACCTAGGGTTCCTTTGAAGGGATCCTTAAAAGGTTCTTATACGGGATCTATGAGAGGGTTCTACATTAGGGGCCTTTTATAAGGGTGCCGTACTATTATCCTTCTTCTCGGATCAGTTTGCACAGTGCTTGCCAGTGAAGAGAAAAGAATGCAGCCAGCCACGGGATCAAAGCATAGCCTAGCTCTTGTTCCAAATAGCCTGCGCGACCGCGACTCTAAAGGTACCATAGGCTCTCCACCCGCCTCTTGGAAGGGCTCGTCTTCAAGGCCCATTCACGGAAATAAGCCAGCAACTGTGCAGATTGAGGGTCCAACCTAGGTTACCAGCAATTGTTTGACTTTCACCTTAACGCGGCTCCTCATCCACTGCTTGGCTGCCTGTGGCGCCGTCGCATAGGCTGACAATCAACAAGGTATCCCACATTGGTGAAGTTAGATGTGCCTCTAAGCCAAGCAGCTCCTCGATGGTAGTGATGCCACTTGCATCATGATCGAGTGCTTGCCACAAGGCGCGGCAGTTGCCCTTCCAGTTCAACATCTTCACCGCCTCTGCACTGATGCGGCTCGACCAGGGGCGCCAGATCAATATCGAGGCCATGCAACTAAACATCGCCAGAATGCAAGGTAACAGTCCTGAAACAGCGCCTTGAAAAGCTCAGAGCGCTGAAGTGTCATGGAGCCATCGACATCCAATGCCTGACAAAAGCTTGCAAACTGCGCACGCTTTATCACGCTTTGTCGCTGCTCAGGCATCTTAACCACCTTGCCTTTCTCCACGCTCTCAGCATGTTGCCGAAATGCTTTTTCAGGAAAGCCTTGGCGCTGAGCTTGGTGGCATGTTCGTTTTTCCCTCCTACCTAGCAAGGACGCGCATTGCAGGGTATGTTCGGGACTGTGGCAGATGCGCAGCGGAAATTCGTGATATGAGAGCCCAATTTAGGCCGCCACAGACTCACCTAATTTCCAATTAAGGGCTGACCAACTCACATCGGCCGTACACTCAGCACTGTAAGCCCAACCAAGCGTGTCACTCAGTCTCAAAGCCCAAGGGTGTCCAGAGATGCCGTCGATGTACGACAGACCCATGCTCATGTGCGACTTCTAAGAAAGGCAATCGCTGAGCAGATGCCTCAAGACCCTCAGCTCATAGTCCATCGAGGACATGAGGACTTCCCTTCACAGGTTCGATTTGTGACGGGGACAAATCGAACCTCGGAGTGCTGCAAGAATTTCTGAACACAATTGCAACGGCTCTCAGACTCTCTAAGAGAACTAACGGCTTCTGTGTCGTTCTGTATGTAGTGCAGATGAAGCAAAGCGGCCTTGAAGCTTTTCAGCGCCGCTCGCGCTTCATGTGCACTTCTAACACGGATGCCTTAGGAGCGAGGTGTTCAAGGATTTCGACGTATCCCAACTTACGAGTCACAGTGCTTGCACCGAAGGCTGATGAGAAGATCTTTCAATGGGCAGCGGTAGCCCAACACCTTACGTACGTGTCCCAGGTTCCGTGTGGTGATAACCGAATAGGCTACCTAAGAATGGTAGGTTTTTCGGCTGCAGGTTGGAATTCGGCAGAACTCCTTGCATCAGGATCTGGTTGTTCGGCTTGTAAATGCCATGTGTCGCATGTTGTTCCTCGGCATTCCAACCATGGCTTCGACCGTTCATCCGCACTGCGGTGACGTGGTCCCTGTCACGAACGTGTCCTTTTTCGCGAATAGCCAATGCCCGCTTGTCACCGTCTCATCGGTTGGCATCGCGCAGGTGCACGCTGTATGCTGCGAACTTGCATACAGATTTGTACATGGGTGTACACAATAAATACTCAGCATGGCGCAGCGCCCCTTCCCGCGCTGTTCGAGCTGCGAGGCACCAAGCTCGGCAACCCCTGTTCAAATCACCCTGGCAGGGCCTGTACAACCTCGGGGGCGTCGTTTGCAAGCTATGCTATGCCGCGCACCAAGGAAACGGCTCGGAATAATTAAATCTTTACACGGGTGTGCAGTGTGCACAGACGTTTGTGATCGAAACATCTCGGCTACCGTGGCAACTCCGGCATGGGTCAGCAAACCGGTGATAATGTGCGACAGCGCCTTCCTTCTGCAAAGCCTCCCAAAAATCCCACGGCATCTGGGATTTCGAGGAAAGTCTGGTGCACTAGCTCAGGCCCAGGCTTACAAAGATCCCACTGGGGTCTAACCTCATTCAAGAAGCTTCCGACCACCTCACGACAGAAGCGTGGAGCGTTTTCCTCGACAATCCTCGGTACTGATGTTCCGCCATTGGCACGTCGGTATGCAGACTTCTGCAAGGCAAACACTGATTTGAAACGATCTCTGGCCGCATTCCATTCCTCCCGCTGCACCACACACTGATACGGCAGTAACTCTTGCCCATCCAGGAATTGATATGCGCGTACATTCACACCGGCTCGTCGGAAGAACAGGCAAAGGTACTCCGCCAGATGGAACGCACCACTGCCCACCATGACAGGATCGTAAGGGACCCATGTTGAGAGCCCCAACTCTTGGCCAGCCTTGATATTGGTCAGCTGCCCAGTCTCGCCCGTCTGGGCACCCAGAGAGGGGATCAAGGGTAGCCTCAAACCAAAGCTCGTCATGCTGAGCACCATGTAGAGCGTCCTATCCCGCTCCCGCTCCAGGGTAAGCTGTGGTCTGTTGAAGTAACGAATGGCCTCGCATCTGAACGCATCTAGTACAAGCCGAATTGCATGAGCTGCCCTACTGGGCAGCTGCAAGCGCTCTGACGTCCCCATGACAAAATGTACCGTATAGTGCCCATTCTCTTGTCGTCGGCAAAGCAACATGCACGCTAAGGCTTGGCTCTGGTCGCCCAGGTCCCTCCAGGTGAGAGAGCAGTCTCCCATCTCTGGAAAGTTCCGTCTTACCCGTTCAAGCGTTGTCACGGGCAGTGCCGAATGCCCGAAACATAAGGTGCCAGGCGGGCGCTGTGAGTGTAGGACGCCAAACAAAGTGTCACAAAGCCGGATCCATGGCCAGTCCGCCCAGAAGTTCTCCAAGCATGCCCCGGGAGCATGCAACTCTCGTACTTCACGCACCTCTTCCACATCGGCTGGATCAGGGTGGCACTGACAGCTCCACGCTCGCGTTTCTGGCCGGACCAACAAGTAGGCAGGATTTTCTGGCGGATTTAAGACGACAACATCGTGAAGCAGGCACTTGATCAAGGTGTCACCCCAAGGACTCCGGGACTGGAGGAGCGCGGACGAAGGCTTCTGTACGAGGGTCTGCCAACCCTCCTGTGAGAGCAGATGTGGCACCAGAATACACCAATCCTCGATGGTGTCGGGTCTTGTGCCCTCCGGTGGCGCTACCTTCATTGGCCTTTCCAGGAAGCTAAGGGCCTCAATCTACTTTGGCACGAGACTTGCATTGCAAAGCAGGCATTGTCGGCCAAGTCATGTTTTAGCACTCTGACTGAATGCAACTGATTACAGTAGCCAGCAAGTGCCATCGCACAGTTAGGCCTGCCCCGCTTTGTTCTAGCTCGCGGCGCTACTTCTCATGTAGCCATGCCGCCTGCCATCTTCTCAGCCTTCTTTTTCGCCGCCTGCTTCAGCTTGAACATCTTGACCTCGCGGTCAACCCACCTGCGGTAAGAACACCGGTTGGATGAAGCGGCCGGCTGTATCAGTTCGGATCGCGAGGTTCCACTCGCACACAACAGCATCGCGAAAATCAGTGTTGTGTCCGAAACTGAGACCCGTCTACAGCTCCTGCGAAGGCGTGGGATGGCACATGCGCAAGATTCGCCTCATGCCCCTCGCATAGATGCAGCGCACCTGCAGCAACCGAGGTAACCCATGCTACCAGAACGAACCGTGCCGCAGCCTACTTCTTATTACATACTGCACCAAGGCACCCCTCTACCTGCAACGTGCGCTGGCTAGGACCAATCGGCTTCTTCAAGCAATGAGCTAGCAGGGTAAGATTCAGATGGCAGACGAACAAGAGCTTTCAAGTGGAGGCGCACAAACACAACCTAAAAAAAAAAAAACATCTTAGAATGTCCAACTCGCAGGGCCCACAGAGCGCCTCGTGCTCGCTCTCCATTGCAAAAGCATCGAAAAACATCTTCTCCTGGCCTGGCCCAGCTATGCGCGGGAACTCATCAACTGCACTACTAGTAGTTGCAGTGCCTCAAAACGGGAATTGGCAGATATGCTCGCCCCTGAACTGTGGGTCATAGGTACTACGAGTAGTTGCCCCACAGCTTCCGGTCGGCAAGAGCGCAGATGCGGCAGTAGCGTTCGAGAATAGCCAGAGTGTAGGCAAGAACAAAACAGGATCAAATCAGAACGCCTGCCTCCGCTCCAGCCAAACGCTGCAAGGCTTTCACAGAACTCCTGCTCGGAAAGAGCCTGCAAAGATGGCTGTCGGCTACCGATCCGGGTAAACTCGACAGGAGCGCTTCTGTAACGGGTCATGAGTCATGGGCCTTGTCCACAGCCTTCTCCATACCGTTGGAATCAGCATGGTGTTTCTGGAGCCGTCGGAGCATGTCCTTAACGTTGACCGCGCATCCATGCGTCAAACTAGCGAAACGGTGTGGCCACTCCACATGTCTTCGCACTGCACTGCAACGCAAATGTTCGACTCTCCAGCTCTCCGGTTTCGTATTTCGCACCAACCATGGACTCGACCCGATAAGCAGGACTGGCATGTCTTTTTGCATGCACACGCCAGACAAGTCTGGCAGGGCTAGGATGTACTCCCACGATGGAGGCAACACGGATTCAGACTCAAACCTCACAGGAGCTTCAGAACACTGTGCGGCAACCTGCTGCACCCATCCGAATCCTGTTGAGCTAGAGCAAGAACAGGTGTTGTCGCAGGGCGACCATCTAAACCGGAGGCATGAGTTGTTGTGAAGATGGGGTCCTAGGGCCACAGCAAGTCGGGCATGACGCGATGCCGCATGGTGGCGAGGCAACACTATCGAGGGAGATCAACAAATAAGTCTCAAGTTTGACAAGAAGAGCCCTGGAATGTGATCCCCGATGCTCACCAGACAGCATTCCAATACCGAAGCTTTGCTCTTGAGCCCGAAACCTGGCGGCCAAGCTTCCTTAGTGCCGGCAAATGTGGAGCCAACAAATTTGGAAAAAGATCGCCACAGCTCTGCCTGGCAGGCGGGGGCTAGCCATCCCGTCAGTACAGTACCAGACACGCTGCCAGCGCAACAGCACACTAACTCGTACTGCTACTGCTTCTGCTGCTACTGCTACCTGCTACTGTTACTGCGACTGCTACTTCTTCTTTTCCTACTACGAGTACTACGACGACGGCGACTACTACTGCTACTGCTACTGCTTCTAGTACTGCCACTACTATTGATAAAACTACTACTACTACTACTACTGCTGCTACTAATACTGCTGCTACTACTGCTGCTACTACTGCTGCTGCTGCTACTACTACTACTACTACTACCACCATCACCGCCATGCCACCACCATCACCAGTACCAGCACCACAACCATCACCACTACCTCACTACCTCTACCATTAACACCACCGCCACTACCACTACTACAGCACCACCGCTACCACGACTACGACGAGGGCGACCTCTCACCACGACTAACCCCACCCGGTTCCTCTCACAAAAGAGCTTTTAACCTCACAGTAACTACTACATGCTAAACGCTTAAAGCCCGCGTAGGTGATTGCTGCAGAACGGTGCAACAGCAAAACCAACTGTACAACCTAAGCGCACGGGTGCACGCGGATATTCATCGCTGTTGTGGTGAAGGCGGTGGTGCTGCGCAGACGAAGTATCAGCAACATATCCCACGGCACAATCCAAAGGCACCTCTTCCGGCCGAGTGAACTCGTCAAAGGATATTGCGCCAGACATGTCATCGTCCAACTCCTCTGCGCTTCTTTTTCTAGGAGCAGGGCACTGATGCGGTCGCCTGTCCTGCCACAGCTTGTGGGTCTGCTTCGGGCCCCCTGTGAACTTCATGTCCTGACGATGCAAATCACATGCATGGGAAAGCTTTGTCACACATGCAAGAGTAGCTGCGTATCTCTAGTAGTGATCCCACGAAAAGAAGAAGGGCTGTTGGCCATGATCATCTCAACAAGCACATGTGCTGTGCAAGTTGCAAAAGCGTCCTTGAGGCCCTTGTCAAACTCAGTGTAGTCAATGCCTCTCGAGCATGGGGGAGAATCAGCCGGAGGGTGCGGGGACCTAGCCAGTACTTTTTCAGATCAAGAGCCCCTCAAGCAGTTACAACCTGGGCTTGGTGCAGATAACTAAGAGTCACGGAAGGACACTGGCAAGTTTCATGAAGGCAGCGGGTATGCTCCAGGAGATCGTGGATGACACTGTTTGACTACAGGCCTGCGATGTCTGTGCGCTCATAGACATGGAGAGACAGACTAAGAGCGAGATACATACATCGAGATAGAGCGACATATATGTTTGGGTATGCATGCACATGACGTGCATGCATTCACGCAGCATCCATACGCGTACTTCTAGCACTGATTTTTTCAACTGCTACGCCGATGCCGCGAATCGGGCAGGGCAGGGCACCGGTAGCCTAAGAGTTCGCTTCCCAGCTGTTAAGGGGCCTTAATAATTAGAATAGGGTTTTGGGCTCTTTTGCAGTATTACTATATTCAGGAACCCTAACTATAGTAATACTATATTTAGGGTTCCTACTATATTCAGGAACCCTAAGAGTAATATTGGTGTCTGACCAAAGGTTTCGACTCTTTCCATGGAACTTGGTAGCTGCCTGGTCCCTTGCAACGCGGCGCTCTGATGACCGTGGAGGAGGGGGCTCTGCTTCTTGGGGTCTAGGGTTTAGGGTTTAGGGTATAGGATATTAGGGTTTAGGGTTTAGGGTATAGGGTATTAGGGTTTAGGGGGGGTCTACAGGTTTTTCTTTTTGCAGAGTCAGGCACGTCCACTGTGATCCGTGTCGAGGAACCTGAGCACTCAACTGAGGTTGCAGGGCTCTTAGACGAAGGCAGTCTCCTGCTGCGGCCGCTCGACAGCTTAAGGATCTGAGCCGCACATGGGATGACGTTGATCCAAGCTGCTGGAACCATGCCTTCAGCATTGTCTCGCAGCCCGCCTCAAGGGCAATGTCGTGCCTCAAATGTCGGCCAACAAACGATCCTACAGCGAAGGACCGATCTCGAATGCGATTTCCCAAACTTCTGACAAGGCCCAGTGAGCACGATTGATCACTGCATTTGCGCCATCGGAAGAAGCTACTGGAGTATTTGGCAATTGCTTTCTGCCAAGTGACAGCTTGTCCACGGCGCTCTTCTTCGGGCCGTCGTCCTAGCAAAGGCATTTTCCCGAGTCACGCAACTACCGTCACCCTGAGCTCGACCTTGGCAGCTTCTTGACACTGATGGGCAGAGCACTCCGTTGTATCACTCGCGCCGAGCAAAGAACGGGCATTTCCGAGAAGCATTGCGTGCTTTGTCAGCTGGTGACAGAATGTCAACAAACTCCTTGAGGTGTTGCCTGCTCGGTGTGGTTTTGCTTTTGGCAAGCGTCGTCCGCTCCTGCACCTCTGCTATCCTTCTGCATGTCCAAGCACTTCAGCATCCCGCGCTGTGTATTGAGACGAGGGGAGGGCCCATACGGCCACATGAAGTCCGCGCCCCCTCGCTTCAGAGAACCCGGTCGGTCCGTATCCATGAAGGCTGTTCGGAGCTCTCTCCGACTCTCTCGCGATCTCGAGGTATATAATATATATTATATAATATATAATATATAATATATAATATATAATATATAATATATAATATATAATATGTCTTGGCAAAGACCACAGACACAACTTCTACTCACATCTTTGATTGATGCAACGTCTGCTTCTGAGCTCCCGAGGACGGCTGCAGCGAGTTTCTCGTCGTTCTAACTCGCGGATAGCTGGATGGCCCAGCACTCGAAGGATATCTTCCAAGAGTTGATATTCGGGTTCAAGCTCCGCCTCGCACTGCGCTCTCGCACTATCTGATACTCTTGCGCGATGCTGCGAAGCAGCAGAGCAGACAGTGGCACTCAGAATGTTGCTGGGAAGCCTAGCAAAACTTCAGCCAAAGTGCTTGGAACTCAGCCAGGATCTTCTTCCTGCGACAAAGGCCCGTTCTCTCCCCACCGACGGAGTTGTAGCGATGGTACTGGGTCCCAGCTGGCGGCGGTCCCACCCCGATCTTCTTGAAAAGCAGGCCATAAAGCTGTTGGGGCTGATCGCGCAGGAGAGACTGGTGTGCCACAATCGTCCGCCTTTCAAACAAGGTAAAGAGGACTCGGATCCTCTCTGCGGCTACCCAATGCTCACGGTGCCTCGGTCTGCACAGAAGATGCCTACAGAGCTAGCCGGGGCGGCCTTGACAGCCCTAATTACTGGTAGCCCTGCGAGCGCAACAAAACACGATTCTGAATGTCGGAGGTGGGTCCGCTCCACGACATCAGCGACAGTTGCGTTTTGAAGGAGCTCGTCGAAGATGTGTCCACTGCTGCATTGCGTAGTGTTTTTGAAGTGACAGTAGGTCCAGAACATCGCCTTTTCCAGACGATCCAGCGGATCACACACCACCGCGATCACCACAAGATTGTCAATTAGAGATAAAGTTGCCAAGCCAAAGTCGAAATTGTGCAACATGTAGTTCTTGAGTCCAAGCTTCGTCCTTGCATCGAGATCCTGAAGGGCTTCAATGTGCAGGCCAAGAACACGCCGATACTTGCAGCTGACATGTTACATGCTATATCTTAACATGACATCTTATATGTGGCAAGTGGGTATGTCCAGGGATTCTCTCCACCAAGGCTCGTTCTGCTGACATCTTGCCTTGCCGCAGTTGATGTAGTTGACCTGTGTCTCAGTGGGCAGCATTCTGAAGCCACCGGTATATTCATGAAAATAGCCGGGGGCAAAGAGAGTCTCTTCGTGGTCATCCTGGCGAGAGAAGCGAAGTTCTGGATGTTGCTTGATGTTCCTCTGCAGCGAAGTCGTGCCACAGCCCCCCATGCCCACAATGGCAAATCTGAGATTCAGGAATTTCCAGCTTGACAGGGGCCGGACTTCCCCCTGCAATCGAGTAGGAGCCACGGCATCAAGGTCCTGAGTGATGACTTTGATTGCAAGTTGCTGCAGGACCTGATGGGGCCTGCAGCTTCGTGGTGCACAAACGGCAGTGTGCAAGCCGGCCGTGCCGTCTGCAGCCCGCATCGACTCATTCAAGGATAGCCGGACTTCCCAAACACGACCTTCCACGGACCAGCATGCCATTAGCATTTGATGCGTCCACCTGGCATACTTGGTTAGCTGCACAACATAAGGGTCATTCTTCATGTAGAAAAACTCCTGCACCGACTCAGGGATCGGCTCGTTTCGTGCGACCTTGAAGGCATATCCAGAATATTCCTGGAATTGCGGGTTGCCGCTGAACTCTGCCAGGCATGCAGTCCCCTCTGCCGGCAAGTAGAGCAGCAACAGTAAGTGCCCGAGGACAGGCATGGCTTAGAGAGAACGTGACACACGCTCAACCCCATCTATTCCAAGACATCCTGCTGCAGTTTTTTCCAACATGCTCAGGGGCCTGAGATGCGCGGGCTGCGACAGGCATTTGCTCAACCTATGCCCTGGAAGACCTTTGCTGCCTTCATGCTTTCCTTGGTGAATCTGGCGAGTCCATGCTTTGACTTCGAAGCGTTCACTTTATGTAACAGTCTATCCAACCATAGACCGGCGATCATTGAATCGGAGCCAATGTCTAAATTGTATAGTGCGAACCCCTCGGCCTGCGCCATCAAGACTTCCAGGGTATGTCGCGCATGCTCGGCCGATGTCATCGACCGACGCCTGAGTAAGAGACCCTCCTGCCACTTGCTTCTCAAAGCACGGGCCGTCAGCAACTGTCATAATATGCAAAAACCCTGGAAAATCCAGAAATGGTCCGAGGTTCCTTCCCTCATGGTGGTCATGGTCATGATCATCTGGAGAAGTATGCCATATCGAGTCAACCTGCAGCCAGCTCGTGATTTAACAGCCTCTTCGAGAAGCCTGTGACAAGAGGCCTCGAGCTCGTTCTCAAAGTCCATCATGGCATCCACTGCACTTCCAGCTGCCGAGTGACATTATCTCAATACAAGCGACGGCCTGCAGTTTCTTGCTGAGTCACTACCTGCCCTGCTCGACTACTCAGGCAGCTGGAAACCTTTCCAGCGCTGGTTAACCTCCTTTGGAGGTGCCACAGCGCCAAGCACGGTGCGAATTCAGCACATGTCCCAAGATCACTCCTTTCACCCACCTGCACCACACGTATTGCTTGCTTTGTGGTCTGTCGTTTTACGGCAACAAGCTGTGTTGCATGCTTGTCATAGTCTTTGCTGGCTCACCCTCAATCTGGCCCCGACCCTCCTCCCCCGGCTACAGCCCCATGTTGGAGCTTGAGGAACAAGGGGCGCCAGACAACATTCATGTTACCCTGCGGCTCCAGTATCGGCGTACAGCTGCAGTTCAGCTATGATGAAGGGTAGGGTAGCAAGTGGCGCCAAATTCACAACAACCATGTCAACTCCCACCGCAAAGCCTGTTGCACATAGGCCGTTCGGACGATGTGCAGTGCATATCAGGGAGGCGAAGTCGGTTCACTAGATTTACGTGTTTCGACTCTCACGGCTTTGGGGTTCAGGCCTTCTGTGTGCCCACGGGCTGATGTACATAATCTATGATGTGGGGACACATGAACAAAGACACGGGTGAATGCCAAATCACCCGACTCCTGCTCAGTCCATAGCAGGCAAGCCAAAAAGAGGCCCACAGTAACCAAAACACAAACAAGCAAACCACAAGCGATTTGCACACACACACACACACACAGATGCACCTGCGCTTGGATTCTTCTTCAGCGCGCAGATCGCGGATGCTTTGCCTCCGAAACGCACTTTCCAGGCGTGCATGCTTCTTTGGGCAACGTCAGATGGCACCAAGTGAAACACACGAAATCTGGAGATCAGAGAGACTGCCGGCTGAAGTGATCTAAGATAGACGGCTCTTGCCGCTTGGGCAACCACAGGTGGCAGTAATTTTGCTGCTGCAGACATAGGCGCTCTTGAAGCCTTTGCTTCCACTTGTTGCACGACCTTTGTCGTGAGCTGAGAACCCAGAGGAAGTGTCATCAGGAAGCCCGCCGACAGCCTGAAAAGCAGAACTGCTCTCCAATGCCCTCTACAAGTAGCAAAACCAGGGCTGCTTCAACAAAGTCTCCCCTCTCGCCACATCAACATCCCAACATAAGCTGGGTTCCACGGAGCCGACACTGCTGTCGCGACTTCCCAAAATTATGCTGAACCTCCGACGCTGAGGCCGACCTCGATGAAGGGCTCGGAGGCGAGCTTTGCTTCCAAACTTCAACCCTTTGACCAGCTCCTGACAGTCTGACAGCAAAGGCCGAGCTTGCGGCGGCAAGGGCACACTTAGGGGCTAGGGTTTCTGAGCACCCATCTTCTGTGACATCCTGGATTCTTACATGGGTTTGTTTGGCCATGTTTCGACGCTTCGAAAAACAGCCCTCAGAGCTCACCAAACATGAAAGAGATGGATCATCAAAATAGAATCTGATTGGTTGCCAGCCACACAACACTCAAGCTCTCCGGCTTCTGTTGGGGGTATGGCGTTTGGGAGGCGGGATTGTGGGTTCGAATTCCCATCGTCGCCACCATTACGCCCGTCCCACCATGGCGTCCTCTACCTCGACCTCTGTGAGCTCAGCGAGATCATGTGGAATGCGCACCTCCTGCCAGAAGCGTCCACAATTGCAAAAATTGCTTCGAAGTCTTGCCGGGCAGTTTTGAAGAGATGCACCCTCGCCCCAAACCCCCAAGTCCCTGCTCCTCCTGTGCCAAGCGCAGTCTGAGATCTTCCTGAGATACTCGTAGTCGTCTGTAAGTCTATGTAGGTCCTAAAAATGGCACATCCTGATGCTCGAATGATATGTCCCCACTACTGTGGTGAAAGTTTCGCTCTTACACTGACTGTCGCATCGTCGCTACTACGGCGCAGCGAGGTGCCCGCGCCCCGTCTGGTGACGAGCGGCGGGCAGCGCGTCCTCAGAGACCACTTGGACAGTCGCGGGCTTCGCGGCTTCATGCTCTATCCTCTTGTCACCCACAAGCCCATCTGTCATGTCCGCAATGCCCGTGTCATTTGACAAGGCATTTGGGTATGCAGTCTGGTCACCCGCCGCCGTCATGTCCTCATCATTTGATAAGGCAGGGTATACAGTCCGGCTGCCTGTCGTTCCCATGAACATCGCTTCGTAGAGCGGCTTCAGCTCCGGACATTCCTGCAACGCTTTCCAAGCTGCGTTCTGCTCGGCAGTCTTCTTCGGACCACAGACTGCCTCTCCAACGCCCGTCCATTCGTTTGCGCTTATTCTCAGAATTACCGTAGACTGGAAGATCGGCTTGCTCTGCTGACTCTGCTGCCCCTGCTTCTCTACGGTCTGAAACGTCACATCGTCTTTTGTCGCTGAACGGCCTAGCACTTTCTGCATGAGACGCGATAGAATGCTCTTGCAGTCCGCCGGCCGGTCGTCCGACTCCACAGATGCGGCTCCTTCGCTTACTTGCACTGCCGGTGCTTCTTGCAAGGTTCCTGCCGGAACTGTAGCACCAGGGTTCGCCTGGCTCGCGTGAGCCTGGACTTCAGCCCAATCCTTCAAGAGACTCCTGGCAGCGTTATGCTGCGAACTGGCTGCGGAGTGACCTGTAGCTTGCCTCCTGAACTCGTACTTTTCCAGTCGCACGGTCACAGACGACTGAAAGGATGGCTCCAAGGTATGTATGTCTTCAGAAGTGTCATATGCCACGTCCTCGCTGGTCAGCGGCCGACGCAGGAGCTTCTCCAATTCTTGGGCCAGTTCTGTTTTGCTCTCAGCCTCTGCCATGGCTACAAAGTCTGCTACTGCTCCTGGGTGCAACTTCGGGCTCCAGTGCTACTCACCCCCGCAAGCAGACACCAAAATAAATGCTTGGGCTTACTGTACATAGCTTGATCGGGTGTGAAGTAGTGCACAGTCTCGCTTGCAAGACCGGCATCTTGAATCTTTGGGGTATATGCGGACAACCAAGCCGCAACAAGTACTTACGAATCCCAAGTCCGTGCATTCAGGACAAGCGTTGCGAGGAGCGAAACACACAAGCCATAAAGCCATGTGAATCGTGCATAATCAAGCGCGACGTGAGTGCCGTGAGTGCGACTGCCGGGCCTGTCCTTTTTGGCAACATGCGCGGGCTAACTTGCAGACCGTCATGTCCTACCACTGCACCACGCACTGCAATGCAAAACTCACCAAAGCGCATTGGTGCAGCGTAGGAGTGAACTCTGAGTCCCCAAAGTTTGATGCTTCCTTTTGAGAGGCAGAGTCAAACGATAATCATCGATGATTTAAGACTTTGCATCAACCTTGAGGAACAAATCCTGGAGCTCAAACAGCCCTTTTGGGCTGTAGTAGAGCAAGGCTCAGTGCTCAGCTGCCATGGAACAGTCGGCTGGTGTCCAAACCACAATGCGAAGCCCTGAAGCTTAACCCATAGAAATCTGCGTAGCTTTGCTTTGGCAGGCTGGCAAAAAGAGAACGTGAAACCTCAGCTCAGACGGACTCCGTGGTGAGGATGCCTGCACCATGGCTCAGCTGTGCCTGCTCCGTCTGTGCTTCTTACGGGCTCCCTGGAAAAGTCCACACGCTTCTTGCTCGTCTCATGAGCAGCCTCAATGTCTTTAAAGTCCGTCTGCCAAGAGAAGCCCTCATTGCTCGCCCTTCTTCCTCGGATCGCTGGAACTGCTCGACAAGCGCGAAATGCTTTAGCATGTCTGCCATCAGGGAGCTGTTATAGTTATAGAGAACGAGTTCCCCTGATGATGTTTAGGGTGCAGCTTGCAGCACTACCATTTTGACAACGACCGCTACTTTGCTTCTACTTCTTCCATCACTTGTACGAGTGCTACGAGCACGACTGCTGCTCCTGCTCTTGCTCCTGCCACTACGTCAACACTTGACTACTGTCCACCACCGCCAGATTTCATAGGCAAAGGTATGAGGGCGGTGACAGGCCATTTATGTCCACGAAGTCTCGCGGTACACAGATCTCTGATCAGAAAGAACTGACAATGCCAATGAAGTGGTAATGCGACTCCAGCACATTGCGAAGGCAGTGCAAGTCAGAACAACAAACAAAAATGCCAACGATAGCAGTAAGAAGTGGCCACCTCATCCTGGAGTGCATGGATGCAGGGCTGCTGGTTTCTTCCCTGCGCCCCCCGTTGTAGTCCCCTGTGGGTTTTCGCAATTGGCCTTGTCGTCTCCCCCGCCCCAGCCCCGGGATGTCTTCTTGTTTGGTCTTGTCTCCTCCCCGGCCCCCTGGAAAGCTGGGGCCTGCGGTCTTCTTGGTTGACGTATGCTGTTCTCTGCCGTTGTCCACGCTGCTCTCTTTGTTTGCTATGAGCAACTGTCAGTCTGAGCCCAATACTTGGTCAAGTTCACTGTCTCACGCTTCAGCACGTGGAGGAGGGTCTGCGAGGACTCCAAGATCTTCATGTACGCGGCCTGGCACCACAATACCCTTTCTTTTTGCAAAATGCCAAACTAGACCGTGCGAGGGGTAATGTGAAGCAGACCCGTCTGTGATGTCAAATCTGCTTCAGACCAAACCGAGCTTAGGAATCCTCGGGCATCAACTCACTGCTAGCACACGGTGAAGAGTATGTAACGAACGTCAGTCCCCAACGACGCATGCATGCTGAAGAGTTGCTCCTGCTACCCCAAAAATGGTGCCTCCGTCTCTTGAATGGTCTTGTCGTACTCGTTCCGGGCCTAACGGGTTTGAAGCGGGCCGGGGTCGGAACACTATCGGTTCAGGCATCCCAACTTCCAGCGCTTCGCAAATGGAAGCTGTCAACTCTTGCCAATCGAGCCTGAGTCTTGCGAACGAGGCTTTCGTTGATCTTCTGCAAGCCTTGTTTGCGTGCACACAGAATGTAGAGACTAGAAGTCCATTCCATGCAGTGTCTGCTCGACTACCTGTTGACACAAGTTCATCAGGTGCCAGGCGCTCAACAGACTCTGGGCCAACGTGTCTCGTCAAGACCACACCCCCGGCTCACCATAGAAAGTGCTGCTAAAATGCGGTCAGTCAGAATGGAAAGCTCTTTCTGGATCTTTGCTTTGTCCTCTTCCTCCTGGCACGGTTTAGGGTTTAGGGTTTAGGGCCACCAACTTGCGTGCAAATGCTTCCGCAGACTTCCGAATGACCTTTCCAGCGAGAGATGGCGGGCATTGGCAGGCCTTCAGAATCTGCCGGTTGAGCTCTTCACGCTTCTCACCTCAAACTGGACTCGTGCAAACCCATGGACGAAGGAGAAAGTGCCGCGACAGTATGCCGTACGCGGCAGCGAGAAGACAAGCTGAGCCACGGAGATCTTCAATCGACTTCACCAGCTCCTTTGGTACATCCAGGGAGCTGCAATCTGGACTCCGCACTCGAAAACAGGTACAGCAAAGGGCAAACCCAAAACAGTATGTCCACACATGTGTGCCAACATGCTAAGAAATTAGCTCACCATTGCACATGTACAGCCGAGGGAAGTAGGTGACATCGAGTCTCGTTGTTGTAGTTTTGCAGCGTCGCACCCTGGGAGGCCATGGTGAAGGGCGGAAAGTCCTTGGCCACACCGGGCAACAAGGCTTGTGTAGAACTGGAGAAGAAGCAGCAGCAGGTGTCGTCATCGTTTTTGTGGTATGCTTTGGCCGATTGCAGTAATTCGTGCAGTACATGCATGAAACCTTTTCATGAAGTTCGAAGTCGCTCACAGCTGTCGACCGCTGCATTCGTGCTGGTAGTGTTGCTCTGGATATCTGCATCACAACATTCGCCACCAAAACCACCGTCATTGCGACCATCGACATCGACCGAATCCACATGCACTAATAGCACCCACTTTTATGACGACAGCAACATATCAAACATACGTGAATCTGGCTGTCACAAGTTTCGGCCCAAAACGGGAGTAGTCGCGGGCTTCTGCTGGCAGCAACAATGGAGGACGTAGTAGTAGCAGTAGTAGTAGTAGTAGTAGTAGTAGTAGTAGTAGTAATACTAGTCATAGTAGTAGTAATAGTAGTAGTAGTAGTAGTAGTAGTAGTAGTCGTAGTAGTAGTAGTAGTAGTAGTAGTAGTAGTAGTAGTACTAGTAGGAGTAGGAGTAGGAGTAGGAGTAGGAGTAGCAGTAGTAGCAG